TTTCCACAGAGCTGCTCTCCAGGAGGTCAGCCCCCAACCTGTACTGGTGCATGGGGTTATTCCTCCCCAGATGCAGTACACTTGCCCTTGTTGAATTTCATAAGGTTTCTCTCTGCCCAACTCTCCAGCCTGTCCAGGTCACGCTGTAAAGCAGCACAGCCTTCTGGCGTGTCAGCCACTCCTCTCAGTTTTGCGTCACCAGCAAACTTGCTGATGGTACACTCTATCTCTTCATCCAGGTCATTGATGAATATATTGAACAGGACTGGGCCCAGTACTGATCCCTGAGGGACACCACTCGTTACTGACCTCCAACTAGACTCTGCACCACTAACCACCACCCTCTAAGCTCTATCTGCCAGCCAGATTCTTACTGATTTAGTGTCTAGGTGGACGGGGAGGCAGCTGGTAGTCATGACTATTGGCATGTTGTGTAACACTGAAGTCTGATCATGTGGAAAAAGTAACAATTCTGGGAAATGTCCTGTTTTAGTAGGAGTGTTAGTGTCACAGGTCCAGCCAAATTCCCATATGGATATATTTATATTCTGTTAACCAGAGGTTACCTTAGAAACTAAGGAGTAAAGCAACATGCTACATTTCCTATAGGAGAAAATGAAACTGAAAACACAGAGATTTACCTCTGCATAAAAGTACCTAACCTTGGAGAACTCACTGTGTGAACCACATTTTATTTCACATTGCCTGAAGATAACAAAATATAATGAGATCTGCTCCCTCAAATTCTGTAGGAAAGGAAAGTGAAGACAGAGATTTTAAAGGTGGCAAGGGACTCCCTTGCCTTTTCATTTGTTGGGTTTAATTGCTATCCTGAATGTGAGCTATCAAAGGAACCCATGACAGGAACTGAAGCCATATTGTTCCCCCGTGGGTACTTTCTTTCTTCGTTTGATGGTATAAGCAAAGTCCTTTGTCCAACTCCTGTGGTCGGTCCATCTGTCTGGATGTTGCTGTTCTTGCTGCTGCGTGTCTTACTGGTCTCAGGGGCTTTTCAGATTGTAATTTTATGCAAATTACTTTCCTGACAAAATCATTTCAGACCTGGAAGCTGCATTTCAGTGTGCTTCTTGTGAGTGGACATGAAGCAAAAAGCAAAATGATTTTCAAGAGCAAGCTGTTCCCTTGTGTTATTTTGCTTTGCTGAGGATGACAGAGGAGCAAATGCTTTGCATCTCCTCTGCACAGTGGCAAGTATGAAGATACAGAGCCACTGTGAAGGACAGTCCAGTTCATTAGCCATCCCAAGTTAGCACTCCTACTTTCTCTGTTTGGAACAACCCTGTGATCAGCCTGGTTATAAAAGCTGTTGGCAGAAACTAGACTTCGGGACCTGAAATGACTGGGATAGCTCCTCAGACTTCTGTGCCTCTACTTCCCACTCATTTTCAACAAGTGTGATGCTGGATGGGCTGTATCCATAGAGCCTGGGTTGAAGCAGCGCCTGAGAACTTGATCTGAATTTCCCACTGGAAAGCAGCTCTTATTGTGACCATCAGACCATTGCCTGTATCTGAACAGGAGCTTCCTAAGCTGCCCTGTGATGACTACTTGAGCTTCTACCTCTAAGCACCCAGGCTGGTTGCATTTCAATGGGCAACTTCCATCGCTGCTAGGCAGTCTCCCCTACTCACTCCCTTGAACAATGAATGGAAATGGTGCACAAGGAAACTGAGCAGCTTATAAATAAATAAGCTCCACAATAAATAGTTAAGGTGGAGTCTCCCCACGTAAAGCCATGGTCATGCAGATGAAGTAGTGTGGCAGCATGCTGAAGTGATACCTGATCAAAGATGTCCCTCTCCTAGATAGGGTTCTTTTAATGGACAGCCTAGGCCATCCATGACTAAAATGCTTGTGTGATCATAGCAGCTAAATTAGGCCCTTACAATGGGTTTCTGGGGTGTATCCTCAGCATCTCTCCTGTGAAGGGAGCCAGGTCTGTCAGCCCCAGGTGAGTTGAATCTCTTCTCAAGTCACTGATTTCCGAGTCTGCCTGAATTTCCCTTATATAGTAGCTAAATACAGGATAGTTCCATCAAGAGACCACAGGCGTATGAAGTTTAAATGTTTTCTCCAGAGACGCCTAGAGCTGCTATAAGCTGAGCAGTGTGATGCCCATGACCCCAAGCTTTCCAGCAGCCTGAAGCATACCAGTGTTACCCAAGGGATGGATGGAAAGGAAGTGGAATAAGGCTTCATTGCACTGTTATGTGACAGAAGAGGTTCTAGGAGCTAATGGAAATATTGTGGGAAGAAGAAGGGTGCACAGAGAGAAACACCTTTGATTTGATTACAATAAAAAATTTATTTTGATTCATATCATACTGAAAAATTAAATAAATAAAATGTCAATGAATGAACGAGTGAGACTCCCCACCATCAGAGAAAAAAACAATTATAATGATCGATTGTGTAGTCAAAGAAATATAGGAAGAAAATCTGGTCATGGGAGAAAAAAAGTGCTCAAAAGATTTGGCTTTGGTAAAAAACATAACACACACTCAAGGAGTGCTTCAGAGACTTTGCAGTGGTGGCAAATACAGTCCAAGAGTTTGAAGCCTTGACATGTTGCTAAATGTTTTTCTTTGTTGTTCTTTTAAACAAAATAAACCCAGAAAGTTTCTAGCATGAACACAGACAGTCTTCAACACTGGCAGTGGGAATTAATTCTTCCCTCAGCATCTTCTGTTGGTATCTCCTTATTCTGAAGGCATTTGAAAGAGCAGCAAAATTGTAGAGAAACTGAGATAAAGATCTACAACAACAGTCAGTTGTCTAAAGGACTCTAGAAAAAGTTCCTCTGGAATAGAAACATGATGGCACAGACTATCCCTCATCCTACAGCTAGAAAAGTCCACTCTCTGCTCTCCTCATGCTCTGAAGAAGGTACATCAGTGGTACACAGTTACTGCTTGCTGTCAGCAAGAAAATTAAATGGGAATTGCATCTTGTTCCATGATGAAGACACTAAATCTATCCATAATACTATAATCCATGATGTTTCATACATGCTGTCAGAGGTGAAATATTCAGGGGAAAATTGGAAATTTAATTTACACGGCAAAAAGAAACTTTCAGAACAACACAGGCTAGAAGATAGCTGATCTTTTTTTGCCACTTCCTTTGATGCCAAACTGCCATCTGTGATTAAAAAAAAAAAAAGAAAATCAATGGGATTTGGGTACCAAACCACCATGGGTTTTCTTCCAAGTCTTTCTACAAATGACTGAAACAGTAAAGAAATGTTTCTGAATTACTGACATCTGTCCGTAAGAAAAAAATCTAAAATATTTGAAGCTCATGATGAAAAAATATCTCCAAAATCCAGCCACAGGGTGAAGATACCATTGGGTATGCATGGAGTCTTTTTCCTCTTAAAGTTGCTTTGCTTGCATTACTGTGACATCTCAGCAGAAGCATATTGATCATCAACAATTTAAACAGTGGAAATGCTTAAAAAAATCATGGTTCAGGTAGATATGTTTCATTCTTTTACAAAGTACATGTAGAAGACAGTAAGCCCATTGAATTTGCTGTGCCTGTGACATGCAGGTGAGTAGTGCTGCTGGCCACCATGCTGGGAAAGTGCTTCTTGACATGAAGATTATGAACAGGTCTCGGCATGAGGATTTGCAAATCCTGCCCTTTTCATATTGCTAAACTGAAGGGTCATGTGTATACAGCAATGGGAACTCAGTTCCCCGCACAGACATTTGGCATCTTCAGCTCTTTATGCGCTGCAAGCCCAGTAATACTCATGTGGGTAAAGAAGTTCATGTTGGCGAGTTGTGCTGTGGCCCAAAATAGGGATATTCCAGGTAACCAGGTGCTGCGAATTGCTGCCTTAGAGATGAGCTCACTGTTAACAACTGACATGGAAAGACAAGGGGTAAATCTTGGACTGAAGCACATAACTGGTCGAAGGGTTAAGCTTTCACTGAGCTCAAATATTCGTCCACTTGAACATGCTGCATGAAAGACGAGACATTTAGATGATGATTTCTAAATTGCCACAAACACCAACTATCGTAATCCATTAAAATTAAATATGGCATTTTTTTTCCAAGCCTGATCTAAAGTCCCTTGAAGTCTGTGGCAAAAACTCCATTGGCTTCACCAGAGATGAGAATGGAGCAATAATCCATAAATCCTGTTTTCATGATATCAGGAAGAAAAAGCCGCTGTTCTCCATTCTTCACTACCTGAACTTTGTTCTTGGATTCATACTTTATCTGTCCTTGAGGATTAAACACGTTGATTCCAGCAAAGTTTTGTGGATATAAAATCTCCATTGTCACTTCCCTCTTCTCACGGCCTAGAGGTACTGATATTAATGCACTCATTCCTTCAGAGATGCACATAATTTTGAAGTCTGGCTTACACTGTAGGATCAGCTTGCGTAAATTGTGTCCTTGTAGATGCTGCTACAGGACAATTTTCCTAGTGTATTACTAGCTGGTATCCTAACCCATGATATTTCTTCCATTTCAAATAGAGACCTTGTAAAGAGATACCACTTTCTAAATTTGTAAAAAAATAAGAGGAAAAGTTTCCTTGGAACTTTCGGATATTTTCCCATAAAAAAGGTAAAAGCTACCTTTAAAAATGAGTCTTATTTGCATTTGCTTAAATACAATATAGGAGCTGTTATTGTTTTTGACTACAAAAGTATACCACATGGAGGCTAAACTTTGGTTAATTTTTCCCCCTTTTATAAAAAAGTTTAATTTAGGGTTTGTCATCTTTAAAAAAAAATTACATCTGTTGCACAATTATAAAAGGCACATATAAACGACTGAAAGAAAAAAGTCCACTTTCCAACCTTAAAATGATTAAATAAAAATGAGCATTCCAGAGTCTTTTCCACCAAAGAAAAAGAAATAAAAAATATATATAACCAAACAAGACAAACAAACAACTGGCTAAAAAGGCCATTTTTTTTTTTTTGCTGGAGTTTTCAGTATTGTTTTCTCTCTCATTATGGCTGTATAGGAACTGATATTAAATAATATATGATCAGAGATTATTTGATTTGTATTTTCTAGACACTATCAATGCAGAATGAGGCAACAGCTGAAATATTTACTACTCCAGGCAACCTCATCTCTTTTTTGCTTAATACAGCATGAAACCAGAACTAATAGAGGAAACAGAACACGCAGTTCAAAAAGAAGATCAACAGCAGAAATGAATTAATTTCTTTGAGGTAATCCTTACTACGATGTTCACAGCTGCCCTAGTGGGTCTCAAGTCCCAGAAGTCATTTTCACTCTTCTTCCAGGATCTCCTGCCTTGCTCAAGGAAAGAACAGACACACAAACAGCAGTTCTTGTGCCCAGGTTTCCCCTAATTGTAACAGGCAGATCTTTCATCAGTAATTCAGAAATCAAGCCGTAGAGGCTAAGCAGAGATTCATTTATTCCCACAACCGATTGGTAGTTCCCAGCTATCTGTAGATAGGAAATCACGTGCAGCGTGGAAGCCGGTCCTCGGCCGAGCTCCCTGCAGTGAGCATTGCAGCAGTGAGATGCTCCGAATTCACCGCAGATTCACACATTCAAACCTGGCTGGCGCCCAGATCATCTTCACCGAGCTTCATTCTGCTGCATGTTGGAAATTGCAGCCCCCACTTCTCCCTGTGGCCAGGGTCATCTGCCCTTGAAAAAATTTATTTTTTCAATGGAGGCAAGAGTCAAAGTTATATTGAACTCAAAATCTCCGTCATGGACACCTGTCTTCCGGAAAGCCCCAGCTGAAGCGTTGTTTTCCCAGTAGTGATGCCAGTGTCCCTTGCTGTCTGCTCCAAAACCATACACATTCACCTAGGAAGTAAGAAAGAACTAGTGTTACGGCCTGGAAAGCCCTGAAATGTTGAAGAAACTCTCTTGATTCTCAGTTTATCTATAGGCAGGAGCACATGAGGACCTCAGTGGTGTGTCAAGATACTCTACTGCATGAGATGATGCAATCACAGAATAACAGCCCAAGGCCTGCTCAAGGGACATTACATCCTAAGCTATGCTGAGACCACCACCATACCGGAACCCAGACAGAAAAGGAAATTATTATTCATTAATTCTTGTTTAGCAGTATGAAAAACACATTCCTTTCCCCTAAGTGTGATGTTTGACCTCAGAGGGTCTGTGGCTTGGGATGGGAATCTCTTTTTTAGCTGATTAAGGCCACAAAGAGTAGAAAAATTTTGGTTTTGGTCCTAGTCTTCCAAATGATGACCCATGTCAATACCCTATTACATGCTTATTTATATGACATTTGCAGTCACTTCAGAGGCCAATGGACATTATGTTCTTTGTGTGTATACCCTATGGCTTTTCCTCTCCCAACGGCTCATTTATCGATAGCTATGCTTGTCTCCCCTGGTGGTTAAAGTCCAAACATAATGATTGACTTATTTCAACTGAGAGTGGCTATATGGCTGTGTTTGAATGGGTCATAGCCCACAAACCAAATGCCTTAACCAACCCATGCATGGACCCACCCAAATATGAGTTGGTTTTAAGTTATTTTTGGTAATGTCAGAGCCTTGCTCATTGCCTGCTTACCAGAAAACAGACTCCACCCGACCACCCATCCTATCTGCCTTGACCATGGTGCAGTTTCTGACAGCATCATTAGGAGTATTCCCATCATCTCTTCAAGCAACACAGGCCTAGGTGACAAAAGCTCTCTTTCATCAGCAGATCTGTGTCCAGGACAGGGATTTTACCAACATGGTGATTTTTCTCCCCCATGCTGACAATCCCATGCTTGCAGGATTTTGTAGAGCTGACCTGGCCTTGCACTAGCTAGCTAAGTCTCCAGTCACCTAGGAGCACCTCACATCACTCAAGTCAGGGAATTTCCTCAAGTAACTGCTGGAGCAGAGGCATATGCCATAACCTACTGTATAAACCCACAAGTTTGGGTTTGAAAATATACCATCTGCATTCCCCAAAGTGGTTTATGTAAGAGCTGGTCATCCAAGTTCTTCAGGTGGAATTGTGTTTAAGATTTAGATATCCAAATGGAGAGGGAGAAATAAAGGCTGAGTGAGTGGCCAAGACATGTTCCTGGCACTACAGTGTGAAACATCCTGATTTTTTATCCATATATCCAAATACAGTCAGACTTTACCTCATCGCATACGTGGAGTGCAAATATCAAAGACAGAAGGCCTGTGGAGGGGTATCTCCCATGATGCTGGAGCCAGTTTTCGTAGACGTATTTCATAAAAGCTGGATTATAAACCAGGATCTAGGCAAAATTGGACAGAAAGACTCATTAGTAAAATACCCTGGGAAAAAAGCAACAGTAGCATGTCATCCCTAAAGGACACTGGGGTAGAGGAGTGGGGAAGAAAGGAATAATAGTTATTCCCTGAGGGCAGGTGAAAGGGAAAAATAAAGTCCTGTTGTTAAGTACATTCAAGAATATTTCCCATTTGCAATTACACATGAATATTCCTTCCTTTGTGTGGATAGCCCACCTGCTTATGCTAATGTAAATCCTGTGTTATTTCTACTGAAACCAATGGGTATGAAATGGCACAAGTGAGCAGAAAATGAGGCATTCGACTTTCCCTGTAGTGTCCTGGTGTAACACAGGTGAGCTCTGGGGAGTTGGAGGCCTGAGCAAGGCAAGCATAAGATGCCATCCCAGATTTCATAGACTCATAGAATTATTTAGGCTTGAAAAAAACCTTAAGATCATTGAGTCCAACTGTAATTTGGGTGGGAACATAGCAGCAACTCCACCTTCTTCACGATATGCCAATCATGTCTTGGTATCCCTATAGGTACAGATCTAAGGAAACCAGGGGTCAGGTGTAAACTATCAGGAAGTCTATCAGGTTGTATCAGCTGCATTTCTCCTGTTTCCCAAACACCCTATTTTTCTACACTTTTTTTTTTTTTTTTTTAAAAAAAAAGACATAAATTGCACTTGTTTATCTCCTGGGGAAATTGTGAGGCCATCTAATGGAGATGGAGCACTTAAGATCAGACCTGAATGTACAGTAAATCCAAGGACTGGTGGGAGCTGTTGGTTTCAACCCCCTTCCCTGAATCGGGCAAAGGGATGCTTTTCCGACTATGCTGCATTTGTAATTAGTGACAGCGTTTCAGTGCTATCTAGTTAGCTGCAGGGCTTTTCCTTTTACAAAGTCAGAGGTTAATTGCTGATATTGTATCTGTGTGTAATTCTCACAGGGTGTTTTGCGTTGCCTGGTGTGGGAAGAAACACAAGCTTCTCATGTCCCTGCTTAAGAAGCTGAGGCATATCACCAGGCATACCCTGGGCTATTGCTACTCAACTGTGACGTGAGTTTAACAACCTGCCGTAGTGCATCTCACAAGGGTTTTACAGAGGTTAATGTGCTCCTCACAACAGGTAGGGATGAGCTAAGTGATTATTTAAAAGCCCCAGAGGTCCATGGTTTGAAACACAGGGATATAAACTGATACAGGTTAAAGGTCTCATCTGAAGCCTTTGGCAAAACTTGGCCTCCTGAATGAAGGACGTGCTTTAATCTCTAATTTTAATGCTCTGGGGCTAACATCATACTTTACCAGCCCTTGAGACATTAGGAGCCTGAGGTCCTCTGAAAATCAGCCTCTCCAAGGCCTTTTATTTTACTGGAGAGGTAAATGAGAAAAAAAACCAAAAAACCGTTTATTTTACTGGAAGGTCTGTAGAAAAGAAAATGTCTTTTACCTCTCCCTACGTAGCCTGACTTGGTTATGTCCTCAAGCCGTGCATTTACAACAACAAAAAGTCTTTTCAGGGTGGCTAAAGGTGCAACATGAGAATCACCATCCTTCGTCATGGGAAATCCTGCCTCCAGCAGTAAGACCTGTCTATTAAACCACAGCATACTTGGGCAATGAGTCAGTTTGCATGGGATGGACTCTCTTCTGACTCCTGTAGGGTGGGCACCAGGTTTGTCCATCTTTCTTTGACCTTCTCAGAGAAGTGACGTCCCCTGACCGATAGCCTTCTACACATCCAAACTATGACATAAAATGGGTCAGAAGTGTTTTGTGAGCCTTGAGGGAAGTGGCACGACACAGATTGTGTCCACATTAATTTGTTTTGTCCCTGTGCAAAACAGGGAATATTCCCTGGTCTGTGCTATCCTCCAAACCTTGCTTGAACATTGTCTGGGAGAATATTAATACACTTGGGACAAAATCAGCATGAACTTGGCCTGACCCCAGTCTCCAGGCTTGTTTAATTGGGTAGAGGCAGTTATTACAGCTGTGGGCTAAGAGCCTTCCCCAAAAGCCATTGATACCATCATGAATTCTCCACTGAATTGAAAATACACAGCTTTATCTGTTCGGAGTTCAATTAGCTCCTTATTACAAGGAACTGAGTGAGAATCATCCCTAGTGTTCAAAGAGTCATATAATTTTAAAGAAAGGCTCTCCACAACTCAAAATGTTTCATCCAAATGACTGCAACAGGTGGGAACAGAGCAACTGCTGTGGAGGGTGAGCACCGCCGGCCAACGGTGTGACTTAGATCTCCCTAAGCAGTACCAGAGGAAACAATGCAACCTTCAGAACAACAGTAATGCAATGGCATAGTCACAAGAGCAGTTTCTTTCCAACCTCAGTTATTTAGTGGTTGACCCATGGTCTGGATGGCACACAGGAGCTAAACCTTTAGCTTAGCTGAGCCTTGTAAAGTGTGTTGCAGTTTTTATGAATGTGAAGGGGTTCCTTGGATTCTTGCAGTCTCCCAAAGAGGCAAAAGACCTACAAGTGGATTAGCAGAACAAATTCACAAGCCAACATTGCTCACCTTTTCTTTTTTGACTTTGATTTTCCGTGGAACTGGAACATATGTGCTGTCAAAAGAAAAAGAAAAAAAAAACAACAAAAACAACAACACTAAAATTAATAAAAGCTCAACATATTAATATTTTCATGTATTTCCAAAGAAAGAAAGAATATTCTTCATGTACAGTAATAAATTCAAATTATTTTAAAACAATAAAGTTGTTGGAAAATGAGGCTGTAATTAAGTAATACAGAACGAAAAAAACTGAGCTGTCACTGAAGCAAGTTTATAGGAAGCTGTTACCTTTTTATTTTCAAGTTAATTATTAACAGTATGACACCAAAGATTTAGTTGATAATATATTGTAGAGTCAATATTACATGGCGCCCATGACTTCTAATTCTTGGATTATGACTGTTGCAGTCTTTGCACTTCGATGACAGGAAGGGCTTTCCATTTAATTTCATGGCAGAAAAACCTTTTCCCACCAGGGGGAGACTTTTCCCCTTCTAATACCCATAGCTACTGCAGAGTAGGTGGTAGTAGAGTTCATAGTTTCTGTGGTTATGTGCAACTCTGGCATTCCCAGTACACAGCTGCTCACCAGCAAGCTATTCCCCTCCTGCCGACGGGAATGCTGAAGGCTTCCTGCACTTCCCAGCATAAAACTACCAAGTCATACCTTATGACTGGGTTGAAATCACGAGTCATGTCTTGAAAACAAAAAAATCTTTTCTTCCCCATATCTCATGTACAGCACATGCTGACATGGCACAGCTCATCACGAGTGCTGTAAAAAAAAAACTCCCTGAGTTTGTTTCAACTGAGAAAATTCTGAACTGGCCTTGTAACTAGACTATATCCCAAAATATACCCTGCATACTTTTTAGATGGGTTGTGATAAAGCACCAAAACCCTTCCATTAGTTCAATCTAAAAGTTTTGGCTTGGTTTTTGGTAACAACAAGGTTCCTACGATTAACGTTCTATTTCTCTTTGAACTGTGGATCATCAACACTGAAGCATTAGTCTAAATCTTCTCAAACCAGTGGTCACTTGGCAATGTCTTCAACTCCTTAGATACTTCTGGGCATCCCTGACCGTAGATCCCTGCCCCAGGCTGGATGCAGTGGAAGAGGTGCTGGGTGGGTTCCAGCCCCCTGAAATGTGACATGAGATGCTAACAGGGAAAGGGACACCCATGCAGACTTCTTAATCTGCCCTCAGTAAATCTGCTCTTGTATCTGCTTCCCACATGTGACTGCGGTTAGCAAAGTTGGTAAAAGTAGTCCCATGTCCTTTTTGTGGTTACGAAGACTTAAAGGGCTTCTTTTCTGATAAAATCTTCTCATTATTATATAAATAAACAGCCAGTCTTTTCTGAAAATGTGATGTGGAGGAAACAAGAGGGCCATATTTCATGAGCGTCTAGGCAGGTACAGTAGAAGACCGAAGTGAACAGTATGCAATATTCAAGACAGTATTTGCAGACAGCTCTAATCTAACCAGGAGACTACTGTAGCTCGTGTCAGATGACATGTTAGTCATTTTAATCATGGGATATTTCATTTTTTCAGAAGCAATACCCAAGTCCTGCTGTCACTTGGCTACAGAATTTCATACAACCACATGGAAAGTATTGGCAAGCTGATTAAGACCAAATGGAAACCTATGCCATTATGATCATGTAAAAACTAGGCTGCATAGCAGCCAGGGAGTTAGCGACCCAGTAAATACCATACAGGAGCAGGACAAAGAGAATCACAGAATCTCCTAGATTGGAAAAGAACTGGAAGATCATCTAGGCCAATCATTAACCTAACACTGACAGACCCACCACTAAACAATGTCCCTGAGCAATATATCTACATGACCCTTAAATACCTCCAGGGATGGGGACTTCACCACTGTCCTGGGTAATGCATTCCAATGCCTGATGACCCTTTCAGTAATGAAATCCTTCCTAATATCCAATCTAAACTTCCCTTGGCGCAACTTGAAGCCATTTCCTCTTGTTGTATTACCTGTTACTTGACAGAACACGTCCACTCCCACCTCTCTGCAACCTCCTTTCAGATGGTTGTAGAGAGGGATAAGGTCTCCCCTCAGCCTCCTTTTCTCCAGGCTAAACGACCCCAGTTCCCTCAGCTGCTCCTTATAAGACTTGTGCTTCAGACCCCTCACCAGTTTTGTTGCCCTTCTTTGGACACACTCCAACACCCCAATGTCCTTCTTGTCGTGAGGGGCCCAAAACTGAACACAGTACTCAAGATGCGGCTTCACCAGTGCTGAGCACAGCGGTGATACAGGCCAGGATGCCATTGGCCTTGTTGGCCACCTGGGCACACTGCTGGCTCATGTTCAGCCGGCTATCAATCAACACCCCCAGGTCCCTCTCTGCTGAGCAGCTTTCCAACCACTCCTCCCCAAGCCTGTAGCATTGGTGAGGGTTGTTGTGGCCAAAGTGTAAGGCCCGACATTTAGCCTTATTGAAACTCATACAGTTTGCCTTGGCCCATCAATCTAGTCTGTCTAAATCCTTCTGCATGGCCTCCCTACCCTCAGGCAGATCAACACTTCCACCCAGCTTGGTGTCATCTGCAAATTTATTGAGGGTGCACTCGACCCCCTCATCCAGATCATTGATAAAGATATTAAACAGGACTGGCCCCAGTACTGAGCCCCGGGGGACACCACTCGTGACCGGCCACCAACTGGAATTAACTCCATTCACCACCACTCTCTGGGCCTGGCCTTCCAGACAGTTTTTTACCCAGCAAAGTGGATGCCCATCCAAGCCATAAGCAGCCAGAGTGAAGCCTGTGATAAAGGTGGCTACAGGTGGAATTCTGGAAAACGTCTTCTATGAGCCATTTGGCAGGGCTCTAGTGAAATCTACCAGCACCACTGGCCACCTGTACAGGACATTTACTGTACCGTTGACCCAGGTGGAAGATGTGGAATATTTTAAGGAATACAAAAATTGCTCTCTGCCAAACCAAGTGGAAAAGATGATCAGAGAGTTAGAGCACCTCTCCTATGAAGACAGGCTGAGAGAAGAGAAGGCTGTGGGGAGGCCTTCCAGTGTCTGAAGGGCGCCTACAAGAAAGCTGGAGAGGGACTTTTTACAAGGGCATGTAGTAATAGGACGAGGAATAATGGCTGTAAACTGGAAGAGGGTAGATTTGAATAGATATTAGGACGAAATTTTTCACTCTGAGGGTGGTGAGACATTGGAACAGGTTGCCCAGACAAGTTGTGGATGCCCCATCCCTGGAGGTTTTCAAAGCCAGGTTGGATGGGGCTTTGAGCAACCTGGTATAGTGGGAGATGTCCCTGGCCATGGCAGGGGGGTTGGAACTAGACGATCTTTAAGGTTCCTTGCAACCTAAACCACTCTATTATTCTATGATTCTATGATAAATGGAGCTTTTTTTCACTATGGAGATTCCTAGATGACTTGCAGAAGGCAAGTTAAGGCAACTAGGCTAAATATATGACTGATGAAGGCCTGAAGGTTTTCCATCCCATTTCTTGGTCTTTTCTGGGACAATGCTCTGTCTTAGAGAGCCACTTTGAAATGGGACATCCATCAGTCAAATGAGACATATCTGAGAGAATCATTCAGCTATCAATTCAATCTAATACCAAGGCCCTCTGCAGTTTGTTTTTTCTTTTGAACCATAATACAGGATGCTTATCTTTTTTAGCTGTGAGTCCACTAAGGTGAGTATTTCTTCTCTTCTAAAATACTGAATTTCAGATGAGTTTTATATATATTTGATGCCTTCTCCCCTTTACAAATGTACAGTTAACATTTTCCTTATAGACTGTATCTGATATTGTGTATTTAATGCATGCTCATAGGTTTATTCTGCCAGCCTAAAATTATGTTAAATATATTGTTATGATTTGTGTGCTTATGATTTTCTGGTTTTATTGCTCCAGAATGTGCCAGCTTATTAATTATGCAATTTCCCTGCCTTGAGTACGGCAAAAATCTGAAAATACTGGTATTTCTTCCATGGGTTTAAATGCTTACACACTAATTTATATGAGATGCTTACCAAGCCCCTGTATACAATCTAATTATAAATATATAATATCCTGTAATTTATTAAGCAAAGATGTTTTTCCTTTTATGTGCTGTGGCTGCTTTGTTGTCAACTAGTTATATCTTCCTGACAGGTTAAGGGCTCACTCAACTTTACCATTGCAACTTACTTGCTGCCACTTCTGAAGGCAAATAGTCAACAAAAAATAATGAATAGCTTTGCAGTCTGGGCACAGAGCAGTGATAGTGATGGAAACATGGATGGGTGACAATGGCAGCAACTGGCCCTCTTCCTGGCACAGGCACAGATATGACAAAGATGCAGCAAGGGGCTTCATTCAAAGGCTATGGAAGGTAGCTGGGAGCTTTCCATTGTTTCTGACACAATTTGCATCCAGGCTTAAGGGCAGAGGTTTTCAATCTCTTTTATCAATACAGTTTCTAAAAGAAAAAAACCTAAGCCTTGCAAAAAAGGTGCTATTTTTAAGCCAATTTTCCAAGATGGCTGACTTTTCCCAGATACGAGTGTCTCCTGAAGATGGATTTTTTCAAGACGACTTATGACTATATATACTAATTGCTGGTGACAAAAAAAGGTAAAAAGAGACTAAACCCCATTTGTTACAAGTCAAGAGAATCTTAATAAGAAGTGAAAATAATCTAAAATGCATTTGCAAAGAGAGAAAAGAAAAGGAAAATAAATAAAACTCCATTTGTTGTCCCATCAAAAAGTTTTCCTCAAAAAAGCGAAGCAGGTTTTATCCCCAGTCAACAGGGACATACGTTTCCAAGTTTTTAATCATCTGATACTCTGAAATTGGGAAAAGAGTTTAAATGTCTTGAAATATTTCTCTCTGGAATAAAGTAATCTGATCTGCTGTTGCTGTCTATGTGTAGCAGGGTGCCACCGAGCAATCCCATCAGGCTGTGGCTTTACATCCAGCAGATAACCTTACACACAGTACAAATGTCACATATTTCATTCTCTGGATAAGGAAAAGCCATCTTATAGGAAGGGAGAGAATTTGCTAGCAGACATCCAGAAGAAACATGTGTTTTGTTCACATTTCTAATTCTAGTGCTGCCATAAATGTATTAAGCAGGACAACATTTACTTCTGAAAGGACAAAATAGAAATGGAGAATAAATAACAGCGTGGCACTTTACTGCCAGGTGAAACATGTTAATATAAAGCTAAGACACACAGGTGACACAACAGTGTCTCCTCTGTATGGCTTTCAATCACCTTCCACCAGGAAAGGTGGACCTGTGCAGGGGAGAATGTTGTGGATGGGGGACTCAGTGTCTCAGTCTGCTTCTGCTCTCGCTCCCTTCTATGAGCAGACTGCAGATCCTTCTCTGCCTCTTTGTCCTCTTCTGCAAGTGGGATAATATATGTTGGAGGACCACGTGGCCACCCAAGTACCTCAGGTGAGACAATCCAGGTTTCTAGAACCACTGCTGAATGAATAACCCGCCAAACACTTGATTCTGCAGACGGTTTTCTGATGGGTATGTCTGAACACGGGCGTGCTGGCAGCACCTGCTGTACCCCCCAAGGGACTGGAGAGGAGGAAGGATGAGCAGAAGCCTAAAATAAGGCACTGAACCCCAGGAAGCCACTGCTCAAACTGGCTACCTCCAGCAGTGAAAACCTCCCCCTTTCATTCCTCTGAGACCACTGTGTGGGGTTGTGAAAAGATGGATCTGGATTTTTGTCTCAAAGACTGCAGCATAGCATTAAGCTTTTCCTAGAAAGCAAGTGTTCAGGACTGAACCCTGACCTGAAGTGGTCTGTAAAGCTCCCCTAGGCCTTGTCAGAAGCGGGGACTTGCCCAGAGTGGACTTTTCTGTCCTACAGCAACATGTGGGGGCTTCCACCCCTTCAGCCTGCCCACTCAGGGCTGCCCTTACTCACAAGTTGATGGTGCCTGTGGTGAGAGCGGTGACAACCCAGCGCAGGTCCAAGGTTTTGAAGGGGATCAGGATCATGCTCACATTTTCTGCCAGCTCTTTGTAGCTCTCAGGGTAAACGAAGTGGTGAGTGGTCTTGCTCCCAACATCTGATTCGTAGCCAGTGGTGGGGGCACGGTTCATTCTGCAGCCCAAAAGTAAGAAGTGAGAAAGTGAAAAAGGGGAAGAAGAATTATGTAGGTACAAATGTATGACTCTTCCCCAAATCATTTCCTTGAGGTGGCAGGAAAATGCTCCCTTGTCTAAGGAGACTGCTGTATGGAGGCTCTTCACACATCCTTAACAGGGTGTAGTGATCCTCAACCAGGCTGAAATGACCATCACCCATAGTGGATAAATTAAAAGTAAATGAAAGCTCAGCTTTAGTGTAGGATTCCTTGGACTGAATGGGAGTTTCTGCCAAGCAAGTATATCGCTGAGCACATCTCTGGGTTCCCTTTATAGTCAGTGGAGAGCTGGTCAAAAGAGCAGTGAGTCCATGAGGACACATGTTCCATTCTAAAGCTGAAGCCTCCAGTAGGTAAGAAAAATATTGCCTTGAAGTCCATCAGCTTGACTTCTTACAGTTTCATTCCCCCATCTGTAAATGTGTATTTGGATGTCTAAGGTCAAAGTTACAAACCATGTTATGTGTGATAAGAAGCAGCAAATATTCCTTATGGTCCTCCCATGAAAAGGCACCAAAGCCACAGTGACAAATCCAGGACCAACTGCTGAGACTTCATTTACTCAAACCTTACTTCATAGTATGTCACAGAATCACAGAATGGTTAGGGTTGGAAGGGACCTCTGGAGATCATCTAGTCCAGCTGATGTCCTCCAGCTTCAATACATCTACTTAGGGTGACTCCGCACACACGTGATGTGCTTTAGGTAACCCTGGGGTGAATGCATGGACATCTGCCCAGGGCCCACCAGGGCTCCAGACAAAATGTGTTGGCCAAACAGGGCTACCTTTTGCTGAGTGTATGAGGGAGCAGGGAACAGAGGGGGTTCTGAACTCAGGACTGCAGAAACACTTCTATGCATGTGTTCCCTCTGGAAAGCAAATCTGTAGACACATCAGCAATTCCCTCCCTGAAGCAATAGCTCACGGCTAGTCAAGATTTGCATTTTTCTGTCGTTCGGCATAATGCAGATGAGAGATCCCCAAAGTGGCTCTGACTGACCTTGCATGAATGCATGTTGCCGTGCAATACCACGGAGAAAACCTCAAGCTGGCTCTGAGCAGAATAGGGCTTCTCTGCAGCCCAGTGGAGTCTCCTGCAGAGATATTAGCTCAGCTCCTGGCAGAAGTGCAAGGAGGACAAGGAAGGATGTAGCTGATGAGATGATGAGGAGCATTGTACATTGCCAGACAACATGTTGCCCCGGTCACTGATAACGGGGGAGGTAAAATCTGTTTATCAAGATTATGCCAGGCTGTGTTATTGCAATGCTCCCCCAGGTGAATTAGTTAAGTTTAACTCCCTCCAAGGGAGTTATGAGCGTAGGCAGGTTATCCTGCCAGCCTGTGAGGACTTGTTATTGAGTTAGCCTCTTCCCTGCCAGTGCCCCACATTGTACTGTGTAAAAATACTCAGTCAAGCATGAGACTTACTATGTTTTATCTTGAGATTAGTCAGTCTGAGGTATAAAATATGGGGTTTTCCTTCTGTCAATACAAAGCCAAGGGTGTCATCTTAGTTATCTTACTCATACTCTGCCCTCGGGTCTATGTACCTTCCCTGCCATCCATGGTGGGGCTGCATGCGTGGCATGGCAGAAGGCAGAGTTCGGACCCAGTCTGAACAGGAAGGACCAAGCAGCAATTTCTTTACGTCATGAAAGTAGATAGTTAAACAAATAAAAGTTGGCTGGAACACAGTGTTTGTAAGCAAAGGTGTCCCCTCAGGCTCCCTGGCTCTTCCCCATGCTTGGCTGTATTGCCAGAGCACATGCAAGTGAGTATCAGGTCACCAGAGATTTTGTTTGTTGGAGACTCTTCCACAGAGGAGTCACCTTCTCCGCACAAGTTTCCACAGTGAATCCTAAAAACTAGTGCCACCGCTTCAGATCTGGTTTGAGATCCCTAAAACAGAAAATGAAGCCTGGAAGGTTCAATTTCAAATTACTGAGAGTTTCTCTCTTGCCACCAACACTTGGCTATGGGAAGGTTTAGGCCTCGGAGTAGAAACCTGCATCCGAGTGTGTTACTCTTTAGTTACTACTCAAAAAAAAATAGCCTTTGAGCCTAGCAAATCCTTTTCTTCACAAATCTGGAAACGTAGGCCAGGGAAGATAAGAAACTCCACACAAGAACAGGGCTGTCTCCATAGCGAGGGACACAGAATTAAGTGTAAATGCACTTCAGCGGCCTCCCATTTGCAACCTGCAGAATTAATGTTGAGGGCTCTTCACTGCGCTTCTTGGCTCTGAAGACCAGGTTGGCTGCATCTGCCTTTGGGGAGTTACTTTTGGCAGAGGGCAAGGCATGCAACTGAAGAAAGCAACAACTGAAATGATTTATCGTGAACATTGTCATCTAAAGACTCTACAGGGTGTCCAAGCCACATTGGAAGCCAAGTGGCCTAAGGTGGCTTAACAGTTCAAATAGTGCTGATCTGCTGCTGATTCACTCTTGACTTCAGTCCACAGCTTCCTGCTAAAGGTTATGTTGTTTGTGAGAGTATAATCCCACATGTGGTATGTTCAATAGCAATTCCTCCTTTCCAGGCCCTCTGACCTGCCTTGTGTTGCTCCCCAAATTGTGCTGGGCTGGCAGCTGTGGTATGAAAGCTGGACAACACGTTGGCAATTTACTTAGTCAGCCCAGATATCTTGGCTGCCCTCTGGGTGATTAGCTCTGCTTACCTAGGTCCTGCTTGTGACAAAATTGCCAACCTTCATTGCCTTGAAAAGAAGAGACGATGCGATCCTTTACAAAGTAGCTGCAGCCAACCGGTTGTCTCCTGTCCATTGCAAAATGACTTTGGCTTAAGAATGAACCGGTGCAAGTCAAATCTGATACAGTCAATTAAGCGCGTAAAAGATCTCTTGTGAGTACTAACTGCAGAAATAACTTTTACTCAAAACTGCAGTTTTTTTCAGCTATATTTTTTAACACATAACTATGGATAGTGCAGAACAAGCTTCAGTATCAACACCTGTTCATGGCTTTTTTTCGGAGCTAAAACATGAGGTCATATCTCCAACATGGATAGTTTACATCCCTGGAACTTAGATTTGACCTAAGTACCAGATTTCACTAGATAACCCCTGAAATCTTGTTTGCTTACTTGTCCCCAAAAATATCGAACAACAGAAACATCTGGAGCTGAGGTAGTGCCTACTCACCTGAGCACAAAGTCATGGGCATCAATATCTTGGCCATATTGAGACTGCCGGAGGTTCCCAGAGTTGCCCACGACGGCGCACCGTTTGCACGTGTAAGTGCCTCGCTCCTGCAGTGGATCCCCATCCCCAGGAATGATCCCAAACAAATCCTTGAGAGTAGCATTAATATTCTTCGGAGTTTTCTCTCCTTGCAATTTCTGTTAGGGAGAAAAATCACTTGAGGTTACCAATATAGCTAGCTTCTCCGTGAGTGAGACGTAGCTTCAAATGTCTTCTCAAAGACCATTCTTGCATCTACCTGCAGACACTGTCTCCTTCCCATTAACTGTTTTAACTTGGTTCCCCTTTTCCCTTCCTTTTCCTTGTATTCCCTCACCTCCTCAGTCCCTATCTAGCCATGGTGGAACAGATCATTCGTTCTCCCCAAGGCTGACCTTAGCAGAATAAATGTTCCTCCAGTGTCTCTAAGTCTAATCCCATCTTGGGCCAGATGCCTTCTGTTAGGACATCATAAGATTTCTTTTAACCCTTCTAGGAAGGACAGATGAGTCTCAGGGAACCTGATGGAGCACAAAAGTGGCTGACATCCCTTCCACAAATTTTGGTGTATGCCAGAAGTGGGAGTGGGAGATGTTACTGCTGCTGTTGTGGACTGAGGAGGAACCAGCTGCTAGTGCAACAGGAAATTACGGTAGAGTTAACCCTGAGGGTTGGAGATGTAAAATCATCTAAAAAAATTCTCCAGGATGAAGAAAACCACCCGGACCTTGGTCATTGTGTCTGTTGCCATGGAGGGAAACTCTTTTGTAGCAGCTCTGTGGTGCATGGTGGAAACAATGACTGGATCGGGAAGGTATAGGCAAGGTGCAGGGCAGATGCTGGCCAGACACTCCCTTTCTGTTGCTCTGCTCCCTGAGGGCGACTAAAGAGGTTGGGAGTGCTGGCAGGCTCACAGAAAGCATGGCCCACCCTCGTGGTGCTCCTTGCTCGCAAGTTCACAAAGGGAGAACTGCTCCTAACACAAAATCTGTCAAAAGACTCAGCCCTTGCTCTGCCAGCCCAGGGCGAGGAGACAGTGAGGGAGGGAAGAGGAACACCTTTTCCCACGACTCCCAGGAATGGCCTGGGGCAATTGGCTTTAGTTTCCCATGTGTCTCCCTTGACTGCACCAGGAACTGTTAACTTCTGCTACCTCTTTCTCTGCCTCACATACGCAAACACAAACAGAAGTATTACTGTAATTTTTGTTTAAATTTCACGCTGTCTCTTTGCAGACCTATGTAAAGCAGCCTTATTTGCACTGAAATGAACAACAGGTCTGAGGAGCTCAGAGCTACACAATGACATTGGGGCCGAGAAAGCTTGAAACAAAGAAGACAAAGAAATGTTACATACATAGACTTAATCTCCTTTCTAATCCTTGCTAGCCTATATGCTCATATATAGACTGCACAGGTAATTAGGATGCCCAGGCAAGCACTGTCTTTGTTACCATGCATGTCGCTATTAAGTGGATAGCTCAATTATTTAAGTGAAAAAGGTTATCTTCTTCTAAATTTGTGTGTGATGCTGAAAACAGATGTTCACATATCTAAGCTCTTGTGTATTCTTGATTAATCCGATCTAACCTGGTTTTACCCTGAATATGTGAAAAACACTTAATGTTAGAATGCCTGCAGCCTTCAAAATAAATGGAGGCTTCATAGTGTCTTAGAGTGTAGTATCAGGTGTATAATGTAGAAAAATCCAACCTTTGTTTTAAAAAGGAACTTATTTTGAGTTATTTGACACATATGTCTAAACACTCATATATACTGTTTCTCTGTAAAGGTGAGCTGACTTTAATGTCTTTAAGAAATGAAAGGGAAAACCACCAAACATGCACCAAAACATTTTTTAAAACAGTTATTCTGGGGGAAAAAAAAAAAAAAAAAAAAGCCTAACCTTCAAACCCTAGTCTTGAACTGATTTTGCCTAAGAAAATTCAGATGCAGAAGGTAATTTTCAGAATATTCTAAGTACTTGAGCCCACTTTTCAGCCAGAATGATAGCACCAGTAAAGGAAAGAACCTGGAGAATTGACTTTTGTTTGATGCATTAAACCGCTAAAAAACATTATTATGGATAGGAACCTCCATTGACACAGAACAGGGATCTGCCTTTTCTTCCTGTTATGCTACTATCAGTCTAGAGTAACTCTACTGGAGCCGAGTTAAAATACGGGCACTGATACCAGCTGAGAGCAGGACACCATCATCCTACGATCCCTATGTTGCACAGCTTCCACAGCAGAGGTTATTACTTACGTTAGAGAATCCCTCAATGATGTTAAATAGGATGATGACCTTATTGCACTGTGTGCTGAACATCCATACAATAAGACTTCCGTCCTTAACTCATTAAAAGTGCTCTGTTTTAATTTCCTCAGTGATTATCTGATTGGACTGCGCTTTTCAGGCCTAATCTTCAATCAGCACTGGTTGGTCTTTGACATTTCAGCAAAACAGAGCAAAGCAGGCAATGAAGCTGCTTAACTCCAAGACAGATACAGCTTTTAAAAATTCAGACTTAATGTGCAGCCAGTTTCTTGTTGCACAATGTTTACTTGACTTCTTGAAAAGGACCATTTTAATAGCATTACAATTACAAGCCAATTATAGTTCACTTTCCCACACCAAACTTTTGCCCTTTTTTTTGAGTAATGTTGTCTTTTCTTTTTTTTTTTTTACCAAGCTCCCACCAGTCTGGCCTTTCCCATAAATCAACAAAAGCACTGGGTGAGTCTGTCCACACCGTGCAAGGCAGAGCCATGTCCGTACCGTGTGGCTCTGCTGGGCAGCATCCTCCCTCCAAGTGCCGTAGATATGCGCCAGGGATATGTGCATGAATACAGCTGCTAGAAGTGGACTCAAATACACTGAAATACCTGGCCTCTGTGTCCGGAGTGAAGTGGCTGCTTTTCTCGGAAGTCTGTGCAAGCAACAGCTGTGTCTAATGATGCAGCTTAACCTTTTGCCCAAGTCCAAAAAGCATCTTAACTCACCTTGTGTCCACACAGAAAATATCACTAGGGCTCTTAACACTCCAGCTCCCCTCCATAAAATATTTGTCTGGCACTTGAGAGTCAACTCTTCACCCTAGGTTGTTAAAAACTATAATTGGAAGCCCAGATTGAGAAGTTTCCTAATCATCTCTGCAGGGAAGACAAACTACCCTGTCCTACCAGCCTTAGAAATTCCCCACTTCACATACAGAAGTTTACTAGCTGGTTTTGCTTCTTCTTATTTAAAAAAAGCAAGGAGGGGGGACAACACATAAGAAAAAAAGAATCTCAGAGTTTATGCACTTCCTTTCTTTACCCATGAATGGCCTTCTGTGGAAGAGCCCGCTGCTCCTTCTTGCACCGTGGTGTGCACAACTCCATTAAGGATGACAAGGGACTTTTTGCTTCTATGAACTTCTCAGAAGGCTTCCCTGGGTCTCTAGAACCACCACATCACCAGTGATCACCAAGAAGCAATATCCAAAACTCAGCTAAGGGGATGCAAGGGGAGGATGTGAATTCAGCCCAAGCTGCACAGAGCTAATAGACTGGAGTCATGAGGACACAGCTACAGTCAGGAGAGCCTCAGAGGAAAGCTCTCCTGATGCCTGTGCATCCCACATCCACGGAGAAGTTTGACAGCATATTAAATACACCTTCAAAATCCCAAGTTATTATCAGGTAGAAAATATCCTACCTGACCTGCAGTCACTGGTGTGATGTGGATGCGGATGGATCATGGATCAAGACACAGCCCTAGTGGTGGACAGGCGGGTGTAGGTGTGGGTCTGGCAGTAGCCAGTGCTGCTGGGGCAGCCCTGCAAGCACACAGCCAGGCAACCTGGGGAAACTGGTGTAGCAATACTGTTTTTATGGCTTCTGTAATTGTTTTTAACTGTTTTTAAAAGATAAAGAGGGAATAAAGCCCCATGAGAATCTCTTTTGCACAGCTACTAATTGCCTCACTGCAGCAGCTCGGAGGCATTAATACCCGTGCAGCGCTTCACAGCTATAAGACATTGTATGAAGATTAATCCTAGCAACAGCCTGGTGGGGCAAATCCAGGTAATCTCCATTTTGCAGACTGAAGGAGAGGTTAAAAGGAAACCATCAATTTTAAAAAATGCCTCCTTGGTCTGGAAAATATGGCATTATTATTGTTCTATTTAATGTCCTGCAATTACCATGCTTCAAAGAGATTGAGGGGAAGAATATAGGGGCTTTCATGAGTTCGTGCTTTGTTTCATGATTTGTGTCTGTCCAAAAAAAATATGCCTTCTCAAATATGAATGTAATGTGCATATATTATGTAAATAACACATAATGATATGTGTATGCCAAATTATGATTTCTGACTTCAATGGCTGGTACAGGTCTCCTCCATGCTACTCTAAGGAGCAAAGACATTACCTCCACCGGCTCTGCCTGCCCTCGTTCCTTGCTGCAGGATGCTTGCAGCTTAGCAGAATGCATCACAGTGCTTAGAGGGACCCATGAGCTTGGGCCACCTTCAGATCCATCCATCCTTGCTGTAGGAGACCCTGGAGCTGCAGCCCAGCTGGTTGTACGTGGGGGCTGAGAGCGCGGATAAGAGGTAGCCCAGGGTCAGATTCTCCCAGTATGTCCAAGGCTGGTCTACATGTCACTCTTGCACCCAAGCAGTCCAGCAGCAGGTGGGACTGAGCACATAGCAGGCACTGGGACTAGAGCCTGGAAACTGGGCTGGGTTTGGTACCACCTTCTGCAGCAAACATGCTCCCTTCAGAGCCGTGAGCCCTTTGTATTGCTTTCAAAGTATCACAGTGTCCCAGTTTTAAGGAATACTCCTGGTGATCAAAGTATTTGGGCAAATTTCTACAAAGAGTATTCAAAAAGCATGACTCAGGTGCCAAGTAGCTCTGCCGCTGTCTTAGAAATAAGTGCAGCTTCCACGACTTCCCCAGCGCATGTATTGGGGTTGCCCTTTTGTTTGCTGTCTGGTTAGCAAATCTTTAAGCCATATATTACATTTTTTCCTGCAAACATAAGGGCTAAAAGCTAACATTTTCTTTTAGATACGCTAATCACATGGCCCCAAGAGCTGAGCTTGCTTCAAAAAAAAAAAAAAAGAAAGCAAAAACCCAAAATATCATAACACTTGAGATAAAAATTGTT